TAAATAGACTCATTAAAAAAAGAAAAAGTAGTCTCAAAGATATGAAGTGTTGGCTTTTTTCCTTTGGTGGGCTCATCGTTAGAACAAAGTGCTATCCAAAAAAAGCCACCCCAGTTGACCCGAATACACCAGGTTTCTCTAACTAATCTCCAAGTAAGCCACCCACTAGATTAACAGACACAGCCACCACTGTACCTGTGAAACATCTGTCTCCTGCCTTCAGGGGGTTGAACACATGCGCCACTGGCATTCCCAGCCTGCGTCTTGGCCCTTCTTCCACCACTTGTCTTGTCTGCCCACCAAGAGTCAGTTTGGTTGCTCCCAGACATATTTAAAAAGGTTGCAGTTGAAAATTTAGAGTGTGATTAGGAATTATGTAAATGATGAAAAAGAATGCAGAAAGAACATTTTTAAGAAAATCAGGTTGCTTTGGAAAGACCTGATAAAGGTGAGGCACACACACACACACACACACACACACACACACACAAAGCCCAAAAAAACAAAAAGGAAAGAATTCTCAGATTAGGTGTGGACAAGCAACTATAAAAAACAGAAAGTTAATCGCTAATTAACATCTAGCAGGATTGCCCTTGGATTGCTTTGCAAATGTCTTTAAGGTTTTGCTCCACTTAAAGAAACTGGAATATTGCAGCTGATGCATTAAGGGTGAGAGACTGAGTAGGTGGGTATTGTGATATTATAATTTTTAATAAGAAATATATATTTAGTCTTTGTTTCTGGGAAAGCACTCCTAAAACCCTTAGAATTTTCTAAGACAGGAGAGCACTAAAGGTGTCTTTTGTTATGCTAATGAGGTGATTTGGGGAAAGCACCTAAGGATGGGGGCTGGCTAGGGGAACCAACCACGTGATTAGTCCCACAGCCTCCTGGGAAGGGAGAGTAGCTGGAGATTGAGTTCAGTCACCAATGGCCAATGAGTCAATCAATCCTACCTAAGTAATGAAATCTCCATAAAAACCCAAAAGGAAAGGGTTTGAGAGTTTATGGGTCACTGAAAATATGGACATTCAGGGAAAAATCTCCACACCCTTACCCTATACCATGTCCTGTTCGTCTATTCCATCTGGCCGTTCCTAGATAATATCCTTGTATAATAAGCCAATAAGCTAGTAAGTAAACTGGTTTCTCCAGTTCTGTGAGACGCTCTAGCAAATTACCCGAACCCAGGGAGGGGATCATGAGAACCTCTGATCTATAGCCAGGGGGTCAGAAGCATTAGTACCAACCTGGATTTGTGACTGGCATCCGAGGGGGTGGGGGCGGGGGGCGGTCTTGTAGGAATCTGACGCCATAGGGGACATAGTATCAGAATTGAGCTGAATTGCAGGACACCCGGCTGGTGTGAGAGAATTGCTTGGGTGTGTGGGGAAAAGCCCAAGTGTCAGAATCAGGAGCAGAATAGTTAGTTTGTGTGAGGACTAGAGCTGGTGATCTGAAGTGGGGTGAAAGTCAGGATTGTGGGTGTAAAATGCAAAATGGGTAGAGACACTCTTGTCAGGAAATTTACGTCCAAAGACAAGGAAGGAAGGAAGGGAGGGAGGATGAAGGAAGAAAGAAAGGAGCCCAGTAAAAATAGTAAATCTGGGGGCATCTGGGTGGCTCAGTTGAACAACTATTTCTTGGTCTTGGCTCAGGTCATGATCTTCGGGTTATGGGATTGAGCCCCACGTTGGGCTCCAAACTCAGCTTGGAGTCTGCTTGTCCCTCTCCCTCCCCCTCTGTCCCTCCCTCCTCTCTCTCTCTCTCAAATAAACACATAAACAAAATCTTTTAAAAAATGTAGTAAACCCATGTAATGCTTGATACGTGCCATGGATTGTTTAGACCCTGGAAACATTTTACTCATTTCGTTGTCATAATAATTCAATGAAGGAGGAAGAGGGGGTATTGTTATCCCCATTTTACTGAGCTAGAGTGACAGGGTGTTCCTCACTCTAGCTAACCCAACCAGTAAGAGAGTCACTGGCGTTCAAAGGCAGGCAGTCCTGTCCTTAGTCCGTGCCAGCAGCCATGGTCTTCCACTAGTCTTCAATTCTACAGAAGAGATTTCAATGTTTTAAATAAGAACAAAATTAAGATATGTTTGAATCGTTAAATTTTTTTTTTTATTATGGAAATCTGAGAGCCTGTATAAAAGTAGACAGAAGGGTATGCTGAGTCCCATGCATGCATCACTGGGCTTCAACACCAACCAATTCATGGCCCGTCTGTAGTGGATCTATGCCCCTCCCCCAGTCACTTCCCCCCTGTTCTTGGAATATATTAAATTGAATCCTAGAAATCATACTTTTACCTGTAAATATTTCAGAGGGCATCCCTAAAAGACAAGGACTTTTTTTAAAAAAGTGTAACTAGAATCCCATCATCGCACCTGAGAAACAAACAATAATCCCTTACCTCAATCGAATATCCAGGTAGCATTTGGGTTTCCCTGATTGTCTCAAAAATGTTTTGAGGGATTTATTTTTTTCCCTCCAAATCCAATCCAAGTAAGATCATTGCACTTAGTCTCTCTTTAATTGTAAGCTCCCCCTTGTCTCCTGAAGAAACCAAATCCCATGTCCTATAGTTTCCCATAGTCTGGATTTTGCTGATTCCCCCACCCCCACTGAAGACACTGAAGACACTTCCCTGTTTTCCATATTTCTTATAAATTGGGAGTCAAATCTAGAAGTGCAGTCTGATTCAGGATTGACTGTTTTGGTACGCCTGCTTCAGAGATGGCGATGGGCTAATTCTGGCAGGAAGCCCTTCCTCTCTGGCTGTGTCTGTTTCTCTAACCCTGGCATCCATTGTCTGATGCATTAACTTATCAGGGGCTACTCTGTTATTCCCACCTTAGTTATTATCTGGAATGTTTCCACAAGAACACATTTGACCTCATCAACATTTTAGGTGCCCGATGTATGTACGGGGGAAGCAGGATACACACTCGATTTCTCTACACCTTCCTTGCAGTTTTCGAAATAATGACTTACTTTCTAGCTCCTCGAAAAGTAACCAGGGAGGTTCTTTTTCCAAGTCATTTGAAACCTCAAGGTTTAAGATACTGATGTGTTTCTGTCCAGCACAGTTACTGTTTCTCAGATTTACTTTTCTGTAGTTGATGGAAACCTCTTCCATTTGGCTCTGGGGCTTTTGACACGACCTTCCAGTCTTTGCTAGCTTCCTTGCCCTCCATGACGACAGAATGTTCCAGGCTCATTCTATTGTATAGAATATCTTGAGTGGTGTCTTTCCAGATTAGTCTTTTTCAGTGAGCTGAGCCACAGCCAGAAGGCGGGATTGTCAGGGCCCCCGGATTCAGCTTCCAGCTTTTACCTCATTTGTTTTGCTACTTGACTTGGGCAACTAACTTAATCACCTTTGCTTCGCCTCATTTCCTGTAAAATGGGTGGTCATAATAACGGTACTCACCTCACATGTCGCTACGAGGAGAAACTGAGTCAATAGATGTGAATCCCTTAGAACAGCCGCCGGCGCATAGGAAAAACTCAACAAATGTCAGTCATTATAATTAGGTCTGCTTTTGGTATATCATCCTCTGAGTTTTTTTTTTAAGTATGTCTGACATACTTGTGATCATACTTTATATGATCCCATATACAACACAGGCATTTTATACCATTTAACAAACCCAAGTTCTAGAAACCGTGTTCTAGAACTAGAGTTCTAGAAAACTCTCCTGTCGTAGGTACCGTAATTTACCAACTTACATGCTCTTTGATTAAGATCAAGTGTTTTCCATTTTCCCCCTATTATAAATAATAGAGCAGTGAAAAATCTTTGAGAATAGACGTTTCTGTCTTCCTTTGCATTTAGCCTTCTTTACTACAAATTTCTGAAAGTGGAATGACTGTATCCAAGTTACGACCTAACTGATTTCCCAACGGTCTTTACTGATTCATATTCACCTTGAGATTTGAGCATGGGTTAAACAGTGCTTATAGACTGCCAATTATTTTTCCTGTTCTCTTATGAAATCCAGTAACAGGATTAAGTCATTTCTATCAATCGGTTCTAAGGATAAGAGACAGAAGAATGTGGTCTCCTTCTCTGGGCTGCTCACATACAGAAGAGTCATTTTGGCCCTGTGAGTCAAACCAGTGAGGTTTGGGGGAAATCTGACTGCCATGGCCTTGAGTGTGGTGGGGGGGGAAAAAAGCAGAAGAAGAAAAGAAAAGAAACCCCACCCAGCACTTTGAGCGATCTAGTAATTGGGTTCTGCCCTCTTCTGAGCTGACTTGAGCCCACAGTCACGTGACACAACCACGAAAAGGTGGTTAACAGCTCAGCAAGTGTGACTTGGGCTTGACAAGTGTAAAGCGTGCTGGGTGGGGAACCGAGTTTAACCCTTGCATGGTCCTGCTGCTGACGGCTCTCCAGCTCTGGCAGCCAGGTCCGCATGCCCGGGCTGCAGTTGGACCCACCGCTGGCCAGAGCCGGGGAGCCCCTCTGCAGATGTCACCCGATGTCACCCGAGGGGGGGGTTCCCCAGAGGGGCGAGGTTATGCAGTGTCTCCACCCACAGGAGGTGTCACTTTCGAATTCACAGGAAGGCTTTGTGTGGGCCAGATGTGACCCTGATAATGCTTCCCAGTCTAGAGCCTTAACCTTGACAAGAGAGGGAGCAGGAGAGCGCTTAACCATTTCTTCTCCAGTCTGTTGCTCCCTGGGCAACCTTTCCATCCCTCCCTCTGTGAAATATGCTTAATGGAGTTTGGATGTCTGAGTTAAAACAGAAGATGACCCCAAAGGCTGGGGACCCCAGGGTGCCTTATCTGAGCTACTCCTAAACCCTCCTCCCGCTCCCTTCTAAACTGCTACCCACTCCCAAATGGCTATCTTAATTGTAGCCCACCTTGTAGCTTAATGGTTAAGCCCCAGAAACATGTCAGAAAAATGCGGAGTAGAATTGGGCCTTCACTAATAATATCTCTGTGATCTCACGTTCCTTCTCATCTCAGATTTGGGCAATAAAAGCTTGGACCTTCTGCCTTGCAGGGGTGGGTAGGAGGATTATATAAGATGCTGCATATGAAGTGCCTGGCATGTTCCAAGTGTCCCATAAAAGTGAACTCACCTGCTACTGTGCCTTTGAGTCCCTTCTCTCCCACTCCCTGCCTGCTCTGCTCTAGCTTGTGGAGTGGGGTAGGTTTCTTCCCTTGTGATGGGAACAGTTTTGTTTTTCTGTGTTACAGTCTTGGTTCTGGGATTTGCACGCCAGTGGAGCTGGAATGGGGGAGGAAGACCTTGCTCACTTCTGAAATGCATGAACAGGGGCCACCCTCACGACCTATTCCTTTCTTAGCCCCCCGACTGGAATCCCATGGCTCTTGCAGGCATCCACGGCTGTTCCAGTGCACACACCTCTTTCCCTCAATTCACATAAGTCAACCGGGTGAAATGTTCCTGTCAGCGCTCACTCTGAGAAATTGGTTCTCAATATTTGGAAGGAGGGAGAGGGAATAAGAAGAACGTTCCGTGCCAGAGTCCTGGCTTAAGTGCTTCTAGTCCTCTGGCAGAAGCAGAAGGTGAGGAGCCCACCCAGCCTTGGGGAGACCCCTCCCTCCTGCCATCTGTTTAAAATTAAAATACTGCCTTCTGCCAAAGAAGGGTTTGAGCTTCCCCATTGCTCCTCGGGGCTTCTGTCACAGACGGAGGTAGAAGAGGAGGAAGATGACGTGACAGCCAAGCCATCCTTCCATTCCAAGGAGAAAAGTCCAGATTCAAGCCCTGGAGTAGAGTTACAGGGCAGAGGCTGAGAATCAGGAGACCGAGTTCCTGCTCTAGTTCTGTCCTTAGCTTTGTGAGCTGGGGTGGACTCTGTCTTCTGGAAGAAAGTAGATTTAAGCACAGGGTTCTCTACTCTGAAGAACCTGCAAAGTACCTTTGCCAAACAATTAAATGTGAATTGAGCCAAACAACTAGATCTAACTACCACCTTTCAGGAAATACAGGGGATAGAGGAACATGTTAAGTGACACTCCATTGAAAGCCAACACATGAGCAGTTTTACAGGGCAAATGACTTTATTTCTTCAACCAAAGAATGACAGGGTGAGAAGGAACCTTAAGTATTAGTGATTTAAGAGATTTATTAACCAAATGCAATGTGTGGACTATTTTTGGTTCCAATGCAAACAAACCAGCTGTAAGAATACATTTTTGAGACAATGGGAGATACATGTGAACAGTGTTTGGATATTTGATATTAAGAAAATATTATTATTTTCTTTTAACATAACACTGTCAATAATTGTGTTAAGAAAGTCCTTTTTACCTTGAGGTAGTATTAAAGTATGCACAGGTACTGAAAGGATGGTATGACACAGAAACAATAAATATGGGATTTACTTCAAAATAATCTACTAGAGGAAGAGTGGATGGGGGAAGGATGATGAAGCAAGATCTATATTGTGTTGGTAATTATTCCAAATGGTCAATGGATTTATGGGGGTTTGTGATAATATTCTCTGATCTTGTGTGTGTTTGGAATGGTTCGCCATGCAAAGTTAAAGGGTAGGAGAGAATGTGGGTTGTGGGGAGGGACCATTGCCTGGATCTGCCTCTTACTGGGCCAGTTAACCTCAGACTCAGTTTCTCCTTGAAGACAAAAATAGCACCTATGTCATAGGATGGTTGAGGACACAAGGAAAGCACTCTGTATATGGTTAGCCCATAGTAAGTGCCCTTTTTCATGTTAGCTCTCATTATGAAGAAAATCAAGGGTGGGCACTAATTTGACACTATGGTTCTTTCCTGTTGAAAGAATATCTGATTCCAGCCTGTTCCTATCATACCTTAGCCCACATTCACTTCTTGGGAAACTCTAACTTCCTCGTGTGTGCACCTCCCTTTGCCCTGGGGCTTCCAGACCCTTGACCTGGGTGACCAGGTGTCAGTTCCATAAGGTATGTTGGATGGATTCCTAGATTGGCAGGTGCAGGTTTCTCATTTCCTCACCTGCCCACTCACTTTCTGGCTCTTTTTCTAGTAGCTTCCTGTTGCCTGAAAAGAGAGCTCGAAGCTTCGGGCAGTGGGGGTGGGGAAGGTGAGTGAGGAAGCAGTCATATCTTCACTCCCAGACTTCTTCTCAAGCTCCAGACCCTTGGTGGGGAAGGGAGGGGTGAGGGGTCCAAAGGAGAGATGCTGTCTCCTCTGGGCTCTGTCTCCCTGGCAGCATGGGCAAGTCGCTTGTCTACACGGCACCCCAGTCTCCTCATTTGTAACATGAGGACAATAGTACTCATTTGTTTGTTAATACAGTGTGAAAATCAAAGTGCTAACTTCAGAGCTGGACTTGTGGGGTTGGAGTCCCAGCTGGCTCTGCTTTGTATTGTCTGTGTGATCTTGGACCTCTCTGTGGCACGGTTTCCTCGCTGGTCAAATGGGAACAGTAATGGTACCTATGTCATAGGATTGTCGTCAGGACTAAATTGAATGACACAAGGCGCGTAGACAATGCTCAGCCTGTGTTATTGCTATCTTTATCTTTGTCATCAGTCTGCACAAGGCACTTTGAGAGCTCACTCATGTGCCTGACACCTCACCTCAGGCCTGCTTTCAGACCTGCTGAATTCCTACCCTAGCCCTGGGGTCCTCCCTCAGGCGTTCAGGCCAGCCCTATGTCCAGGGTCTGTGCCACAGACTTGGGTTACACCAGAGAGGAAACCCTGTGTCACGCCCTCCTGATTTCAGCTCTTTCCTTCACTCCAAGGCAATCCAGGGCTAAAATACTTCCAAAGGGGGAACCTGGGAGGTGATGGGACAGGGGAGAAAAAAGGAAAGTATTAGAGGGTCCTATTTTGTGTGTGCAGTAAAAGAACTTGCCCAGTGACACCCATGACGGAGGTTCAGCTAGGAATATCCTAGCTTCTCATTAGTCTTGGCAAAGAAAACCGATGGCCCCACCCTGGCTACGCCCAAGCCCTCATTAGAAGCGCCTTGAGCCGGGAGCCTCTGGGTCAGGTAGGGGCCCATCGTTTGGTGCCTGGAGCTCTTAGTTACTCTCCTTTTTGGAGTGGCAGCTTAACACCTCAAAGTTTTTGGCTCTGAATCGTTACTCAGCATTGGATAGAGCCCAATAAACATGCAAAATAAGGATGGAACTCAAGAAATGTGGAAAATAAGAGTGATGAGAAGAAGCAACAAGAGAGCAGAATCATGAATGCAACAGACCCCTGGAAAATAGGCCCTTGGTCTGAGCTCGGTGGAGGGGGTTGATATCGGCATCCCCGGGCTGGGGTAGGGGGGTGTCACCCAGTTCTAAATATCATCTCTCAGAGCTACGGAGCTGGACCTTTGGTTGCTGAGCTCCTCTAAAACATCAGATCTACTTCCCGACTTGAGACCCCACGCTAATAAATATCCATTCCTACCCGCCCCTTTCCTTCCTCCTCTGTACCCCAATCCAACTTCCCCAACTCTAGAACTGCAGGCTGGGAAACTTGTAAAGACAAATAGCCCTTGTGCTCCCTCCTCTGGGGTAGATCTTGAGAAAGACCTGGAATAGAATGAGCTTTGTGGGGATTTCCAGGTGCTCAATCCCTCGAGCATGTTTGAACTGAGCTTGGCTGTTTCCACCTGCCTGCCAGGGAGTGGGCCAAGCCACACCTAGTCGTGCCAAGTCCTGGGTCCAAAGTGTTTGTCACAGTGTCTCAGCGAATATGTCAGGCCAGCTTTAACTGAAACAAGGTTGAAATGATTAACAACCGCAACACCAAAGCCCAGAGATAGTGATATGCCTTTTACACTAGTGTATCTTCCGAAGGGCAGGTAAAGAAAAAGCTTACTTCTTAGTCAAAAGAGCATGAGGTTTTGTATAATTTGGGTGTCAGAATCTCAATATCAGCGGTCAGGTGTGTGTATGAGTGGAGAGAGGGTGAGAGGGTGGCAAGGCGAAGTAGTTGAAGGAAATGGTTTTTCCTGCTTTGGACTTCGTAATGACAAAGATAGGATTTGTTGAAAATGACAGGGCCCAGCCCACTCTCTATAATGAGAGCCATGTTAGACTTGGTATACATCAAATATATATGCAACAAACTATAAAGCAGCGGGTTTCAAACTGCTTCCTACTTTCCATAATATGTCTAATCAATACAACACTTCCTGTGTGTGGCTTTGCTCTCGATAGTGAAATGGGAATGTGAGGCCCCAGTACCTCTGGAAATGGAGAGGACACTGGTCCATCTGAAAAGGAATGTTCTGCACTGAGTGGTGTCCCTGCAAAAAAGAGAAGTTAGAATCTGACAAGGGTTTTGTATCCTGAATACAGAGCCAACTCCTACAAGTCAACATCAACAACAAAAACAACCTGATTCAAAAATGGGCAAAAGACTTGAACAGACACCTCTCCAAAGAAGATATACAATTGAACAGTAAGCATATGAAAAAATTCTTGTCACTAATCATCAGGAAATTCAAGTCAAAACTCAATGAGATACCACCTCCCACCTGTCAAGATGGCTGCTGTCAAAAACCAGAAAATAGCTAGTGTTCGTGTGGATGTGGAGAAAAGTAGAGTTCTTATGCTCTGTTGGCGGGGGTGCAAACTGGTACAGCTGCTGTGCAAATGGTATGTCCAGTCTTCAAAAAATTAAAAATAGCATTTTTTAATACAACTTAAATTATTATTTTAATTTTACATATTTTAATTATTTTATTTATTTTAATTATTTAGTACTTTTAATTATTACTAAACTATCACTTAAATTATTTTTAATATGATCCAGCAATCTCACTACTGGGGATAGATCCAAAAGAATTGAAAGCAAGGTCTTTTTTTTTTTTTTAAGATTTTATTTATTTATTAGATAGATGGAGAGAGAGCACAAGTAGGCAGAGCAGCAGGCAGAGGGAGAGGAAGAAGCAGGCTCTCCCCTGAGCAGGGAGCCTGATGCTGGGCTCAATCCAGGACTCTGGGATCATGACCTGAGCCAAAGGCAGATGCTTAACCCACTGAGCTACCCAGGCACCCCTGAAAGCAGAGTATTAAAGAGATATTTGTCCACCTGTGTTCATTGCCACCTTATTTACAGTGTTTAAAACATGGAAGCAACCCAAGGGTGCATCGGCAGAGAGAAGGATGAGCAAAATGTAGTGTACACACACACACACACACACACACACACACACACACACAGTAGAATATTACAGGCTTAAAAATATTTTTCAACATATTCAGCAACATGCTACAATATAGATGACATTTTAGGACATTATGCTAAGTGAAACAAGCCAGTCACAAAAAGATAAATACTAGATGATTCCACTTATATGAGATCCTTAGAGTATTAGTAGAATGGTGGTTGCTAGGGCTGGGGGAAGAGTAGAATGGGGGTTTACTGGGTGTAGAGTCTCAGTTTAACAGAATGCAAAGAGCTCTGGAAAGGCAGAGCGGTGATGGTTGTGTGATAAGATGAAGGTATTTAATACCACTGAACCGATACTTAAAAATGGTTATGATGGTAACTTCTATGGGAGCCTAGGTGACTCAGTCGGTTAAGCGTCCGCCTTTGGCTCAGGTCATGATCCCAGGGTCCTGGAATTGAGTCCCACATTGGGCTCTCTGCTCAGCAGGAAGCCTGCTTCTCCCTCTCCTACTCCCTCTGCTTGTGTTCCCTCTCTCACTGTTTCTCTCTGTCAAAGAAATAAAATCCTTAAAAAAAAAAATGGTAACTTTTACAGTATGTGTATTTTACTACACTCAAAATAATTGGGGGAAAAAAAGAGAAAAATCTTCTCTAAAATTTTGTGGTCCTGGGTAAATATCATGAGAATAAAATATGTAGACTAGGCCTTTTCAAGTTATTCCTATTCAACGTCAGAAAGCTTTTTTAACAAACAGTAAGTGGTACATAGAAGATAAATAAATAAATAAAATCTTGGCTTTCAAAATTTTCATTTAAAAAGGTAAAAGAAACCGTGTGTTACTATTAACACTGACTATAAGGGGCAAGTTCTAATTTAAATAAATTCTTTAAACATAAAAAAAAAAAAAAAGACAAGTTGGCGTCCTAATCCCCAGTTGCTCAGAATGTGACCTCATTTGCAGATTATAAAGGTAATCAAGTTTCAAGGAGGTTGTTAGGGTGGGCACTAATCCAGGATGACTGGTGTCCACACAGACAATGAAATCTGGACACAGACGGACATAGAGGAAAGACAACATGAAGAGACACAGGGAGAAGATGGCCACCTACCAGCCAAGAAGAAAGGGGCCTAGAACAGATTCTTCCCTCACAGCCTACGGAAGGAACAATGCTGCAGACACCGTGGTCCCAGACTTCTGGCCTCTAAGACTGTAAGACAATTACACATTTCCATTGTTTTAGCTCCCCAGGCTGTGGTACTTTGTCACGGCAGCCCTAGCAAACCAATACAAGGGACAATAGGTGATTCTGTGTTGTGCCCCTCGGCTGTCTCCTCAGGGCTTGCCTGATCAATAGTGTGGAGAATTCCAGGGGGGGTCCCCACTCGGTCTCCAGTCCCTCCTCATGAGGAAGCATTGTAAACCCATGAGTTAAGGGCGTGGGAAGACAGTCTATATCTGTTGGTCTGTCCAGAGTCCCTCCCTCAGTCTAGAGCAGGGGTGACCCAGGTGGTCTGACCTACACGGGACCTTCCATTACCTGGAGTTTCTGCTCACAGAGAGCCCCTGGTTTTCCTCTTCTTGGAGTGACCTGTGCTTGATCCCCTTTGATTTTCTCCGTTCTTTCAGGGCATGGTGACCGTGGGAAAGATGTGAAAGCTCCTTTGGGGGAAGAATCCTACTTGAGGGTTGCATTGAAGGTGACCTGTCTGTCTGTAACACTGTGACACTTCCCGGGAATGGTCACTAACTGTCCTCTGAGCAACAGTAACAGACAATTACTGCTTAAATATTTGCCCTTCTGTATCATTTGGTTTTACCAGAAATCTAGATGGAACTGCTAGTTGCCCCCATCCATGACTGGCATAGAATCCCAGGCTTGACTCGCAACCACCATGGCTGGTTCTGATTTTGTGAGCGACCCAGGCTGATGAGCAAGCCTAGCCCACTTGAAGCCTCTATGGCTTTAACTCTTTTGGATCCTTGGTCACACACTCACCATTTGCAGATCAATCCCTATAATATCTGAGCTTCCCAGGCAAGAGTTGGATGGTTCCGCAAGGTCCACCACCACTTCCAGAAAACCAATTCAAAATGCATGATAAACCTACAAATATGTAATGTGAACACACATTTGAATTTATTTGTATTTTCATAAGGAAATATAGGTAAGAAGACAAAATAAGAATGATTACCAACAAAGGAGAGAAGGAACTAGAGAACTGAGACGAAGGGGCAGGAGGTAGTGATGAAAATTTTCAGTATACAGAGCTTTAGAGTTCTGATTTGTTCTTTTTTTAAAAAAGTTTTTAAATTGAAATATAATTAACATACAATGTTATATTAGTTTCAGGTGTACAATATAATGATTCAAGAAGAATTCTGACTTTTGAGTCATGCACATGAATTGCCCATTAAAAATCAATTTGTAATTTAAAAAAATGCACCATCTCTTGCAAAGGGCCTCAGACTCCCATTTTCATTTATGAAACACACCCTACGTAATTTGTTAAAAAACGATCTTCCTTTAAATGCTTACAATACCCTATATTTAAAAATGGTGACAGCCTGTTTGTTTGGCATAAACGAGAACCTGTAGAACGCGTTCGTGATGATGCCCAAATGGGCATTAGGGGCTAGAGTAGGATTTTGGAAGACGTTGACCTCATAGCTCGGGCTTCACAGGAAACTTGCTGAGAGGCCTTAGATTCGTCACTTAACCTTTCTGTTCCTCACCTCTCCATCTGCAACTCCGGCTCAACTCCACCCCTTGGCTGTGCTCTCCGGTTTGTTATGTGGCTCCCACGTGAAAATACTTTGAAAGCACCATCCCCATCATCTTGATGGTACAGTTTCCAGTCAAAGATGTGTAGCTGAAGGCCACTGCAAAACATACAAAGCCTGAAATGAGACCCAGTCCAATCTTTAGAATATTTGTGTGTTGTCTCTATGGCACTGCCCGGAGACTGGAGTCACTCAAAGGTTGGACATGGTTGTTTTTTTTTTTTTTTTTTCCCAACTCTCATTTGCACCGAGCAATCAGTTAAGAGTTGGAGGGATTGTTTATTAGAAAGGGTTGGAGGCGAAGGGAAGCAAAAAGTTGGCTCTCCTTCTGGGCCAGGAGAGGAGCTCTGGTCCTAGAAACAACTGACAAGTCGTAGGAATGCTTGCTTTGGGGGTGGGGTTGAGGGCTTCAACTGTTTAGGCTTCTAATCCTCTCCCTTCCCTCCCCTAAAAACACACAAAACTAAGGAAGAGGCAAGAAAGGTGGTAAGATTCCTGGAAGAAGTTTCCAGAAGGAGACAGGAAAAAACAAGAAAATAAAGAGCCCAATGTGTCCTGACACGTTGGTGTGTTTCCCTTTAGATTTTTCTTCCCCCTAGAAAGATATCCAGGATTTTGTCTTCTCTTAACAAAACTTTGGAAGGAAAGTTTGACATAATCCCCAGAACTGTAAAACCTCTTTGTGCGGCCGTCACCGGAATGCTTTTCTTACATTCCCTCAAGAAGCCAACTTCCAATGTGGCAAGTTCTGGAAGCCAGGAAGGGAGGCGGCAATCTGAGCAGAGCGGCAGGGCGGCTCCCCTAGGCGGAGCCCGGGCTCCTCAAGCGGCGCCCCTCCTATCTCCGCCACAAGGGAAAAGGAGGAGAGACCTACATTTAAAAAGGCAGGAACCTACCAACTGCAGGAATCCTAAAATGCCCTGTGCCAATTCCCACTTGTGAGGTCAAATCGAGGTCAAAAGCATTACCTAATCATCTCTCAAAACCCCCTATTTGAAGGGGTTGAGCCGGGAGGGCGACACCCCAAGTCGTGAACTATATCAAACTTGGTCTTTAAAACTTAACCTAGGACTGTTGTGTTGTGTTTTGTTTTATTTCGCCTGAGCCAATTTTTCTGGTGGCGTTTCTGTTACTTCCTGTTTGTGACTGAGCCTTCCTTGCCCTACTTCCTTTTTTGGGGGTTTGTTGCCTGTACTGCCATTTCCACTTAGTTGTATGGAAGAGGGCTGCGTGCATGTGTGTGTGTGTGTGTGTGTGTGTGTGTGTGCTCTTGC